ATCTGGTGTGAAAACGACCTAACGCTCGTTACCTCAGAGTCAGCTGGTCCAAAGTGCTGCACCTCAGCTTCTAACTGGAGTTTGTAAGAGGGAAGCACATAACCCCACTTTGGCTTCACTCCACTGGCTGCGCGTGTATTGTACAGTTCAGTTTAAGTGTTTTAATTTGTTTTTAAAGTTTAAATGGTCTTAGCTTGTCCTGCTCGGCGCCTCAGGTCAGCTGATCAGCTGCTCCTGGTGGGGCTGAGGTCTAAACAGAAGCTCAGAGGGGAACTAGCTTTTGTTGTTGCCGCTCCAAGTTTATAGAACGATTTGTTTCATATCAGACGAGCCTCTTCACCGTTTAAACACTTTTAAAAATAGATTTTTATTTCTTGGCTGAGACTTACTCTTTTTAAAATTTTCTTTCTGTTTGATCATTTTTACTGATCTTGTTGTTATTTTAACGTTTTTATTGTTTTTATTCTTTGTTTCATGCTTAAATATGCTTTGATTTTTTTTGCAGCTGTATATTTGTTAGTATTTTATAAATTAGACATTAGTGAGATTGCTTTTTTTTTTTTTTAGCTATTGATGGAAAAATACAATTTCACATTTTTTCTTTTCCAATCTTATACCTTAATTTTAGAGTTTCTTTAATGCTTAAATGATTCAAAGATCAATACTAGGTGGGTTTCCTCAGAAAGTAGCTACAAAAACATAATTAGTGGTGAATGAAGTCTTTTTGCAGGATGCTTCATGCTTTAACAATTGACAAGGTCTCTGATAGTCATAGGAATGGAAGTAGTGATGGTTGGTGCTAAATGCAGACAAATATTTTAGGAAAACTTGTTTAGGTCGGATCCATTTTTATTCAGGATTATCAAAAATCCCCATGCCTGCATCTGCCAAACCAATAAACATCCACCAAGGGGGGATTTATAATATATATGCATGCTGTATTTTGATTTCCTCTTACCCCCTTTTTGTCTTTATTTTTTCTTGTTTAGTAAATACACACATATATATAATATACATATTGCAGTTTCAGCGTGTTGTGCATGTTGTTAAACTAAAGCAACAGCTACAAGATCATTCTTAAATCACAGTTACGTATGAAAAATGCCAATAATGGTGAATGTTTATTCAAAGCACTGCATGTTTTTAATCCATAAAAAGCCAAAGCATTAAGGCCCTATTTACACGGACACGATGGGGGGAAACGTAGTTTTTTTCGTATGTTAATTAGAGGAAAAGTTTTGC